TAACAAAGTGTGCAAGCTCCAGCGATCCATTTATGGGCTGGTGCAAGCATCTCGGAGTTGGAACATTCATTTTGATGAGATGATCAAAGCGTTTGGGTTTATGCAGATTTACGGAGAAAGAAAGTGAGTGGGAGCTCTGTAGCATTTCTCATATTATATGTAGATGACATACTTTTGATGGCAAATGATATAGAATTCTTGGATAGCATTAAGGCCTACTTGAATAAGTGTTTTTCAATGAAGGACCTTAGAGAAGCTGCTTACATATTAGGCATCAAGATCTATAGGGATAGATCGAGACGCCTAATAGGTCTTTCACAAAGCACATACCTTGATAAGATTTTGAAGAAGTTCAAAATGGATCAGTCCAAGAAAGGGTTCTTGCCTGTACTGCAAGGTGTGAGATTGAGCTCGGCTCAATGCCCGACCACGGCAAAAGATAAAGAGATGAGCGTCATCCCCTATACCTCAGCCATAGGATCTATTGTGTATGCCATGTTGTGTACCAGACCTGATGTAAACCTTGCCGTAAGGTTGGTAGGAAGGTACCAAAGTAATCCCGGCAAGGAACACTGGACAGCGGTCAAGAATATCCTGAAGTACCTGAAAAGGACAAAGGACATGTTTCTCGTTTATGGAGGTGATGAAGAGCTCGTCGTAAAGGGTTACGTCGACGCTAGCTTCGACACAGATCTGGATGACTCTAAGTCACAAACCGAATACGTGTATATGTTGAATGGTGGAGCAGTAAGCTGGTGCAGCTGCAAGCAGAGCGTCGTGGTGGGATCTACATGTGAAGCGGAGTACATGGCAGCCTCGGAGGCAGCACATGAAGCAATTTGGGTGAAGGAGTTCATCACCGACCTAGGAGTCATACCCAATGCGTCGGGGCCGATCAAACTCTTCTGTGACAACACTGGAGCTATTGCCCTTGCCAAGGAGCCCAGGTTTCACAAGAAGACCAGGCACATCAAGCGTCGCTTCAACTCCACCCGTGAAAATGTTCAAGATGGAGACATAGATATTTGCAAAGTACATACGGATCTGAATGTCGCAGATCCGTTGACTAAACCTCTCTCGCGAGCAAAACATGATCAACACCAGGACTCTATGGGTGTTCGATTCATCACAATGTAACTAGATTATTGACTCTAGTGCAAGTGGGAGACTGTTGGAAATATGCCCTAGAGGCAATAATAAATGGATTATTATTATATTTCCTTGTTCATGATAATTGTCTTTTATTCATGCTATAATTGTATTATCCGGAAATTGTAACACACGTGTGAATACATAGACCACAATACGTCCCTAGTAAGCCTCTAGTTGACTAGCTCGTTGGTCAACAGATAGTCATGGTTTCCTAACTATGGACATTAGATGTCATTGACAACGGGATCACGTCATTAGGAGAATGACGTGATGGACAAGACCCAATCCTAAGCATAGCACAAGATCGTGTAGTTCATTTTGCTAGAGCTTTTCCAATGTCAAGTATCTCTTCCTTAGACCATGAGATCGTGTAACTCCCGGATACCGTAGAAGTGCTTTGGGTGTATCAAACGCCCCAACGTAACTGGGTGACTATAAAGGTGCACTACAGGTATCTCCGAAAGTGTCTGTTGAGTTGACACGGACCGAGACTGGGATTTGTCACTCCATATGACGGAGAGGTATCTCTGGGCCCACTCGGTAATGCATCATCATAATGAGCTCAAAGTGACCAAGTGTTTGGTCACGGGATCATGCATTACGGTATGAGTAAAGTGACTTGCCGGTAACGAGACTGAACGAGGTATTGGGATACCGACGATCGAGTCTCGGGCATGTAACGTACCGATTGACAAAGGGAATAGTATACGGGGTTGCTTGAATCCTCGACATCGTGGTTCATCCGATGACGTCGTCAAGGAGCATGTGGGAGCCAACATGGGTATCCAGATCCCGCTGTTGGTTATTGACCGGAGAGCCGTCTCGGTCATGTCTGCGTGTCTCCCGAACCCGTAGGGTCTACACACTTAAGGTTCGGTGACGCTAGGGTTATTAGAAAGACTTGTATGTGATTACCGAATGTTGTTCGGAGTCCCGGATGAGATCCCGGACGTCATGAGGAGTTCCGGAAGGGTCCGGAGGTAAAGATTTATATATAGGAAGTTGTCATGCGGACACCGGAAAGTTTCGGGGGCAATATCGGTATTGTACCGGGGCCACCGGAGGGGTTCCGGGGGTCCACCGGGAGGGGCCACCCCTCTTGGTGGGCCACATGGGCCGCGTGGGGCAGGGCACCAGCCCCTGGAGGGCTGGGCGCGCCCCCCCTTGGGCCCATGCGCCTAGGGTTGGGGGGGGGGAACCCTAAGGGGGGCGCACCCCCTTTGCTTGGGGGGCAAGCCCCCTCCCTGGCCGCCGCCCCCCCCTCTAGATCTCATCTAGAGGGGGCCGGCCCCCTTCCCCCTTCCCCTATAAATAGAGGGGCGAGGGGAGGGCTGAACACCTGATCCAAGGCGCAGCCCCTCCCCTCCCCAACACCTCTCCTCCTCCGTTGAGCACTTGGCGAAGCCCTGTCGGAGTACTGCCTCTCCACCATCATCACGCCGTCGTGCTGCTGTTGGAGCCTTCTTCCTCAACCTCTCCTTCCCCCTTGCTGGATTAAGAAGGAGGAGACGTCGTCCGTACCGTACGTGTGTTGAACGCGGAGGTGCTGTCTGTTCAGCACTTGGTCATCGGTGATCTGAATCACGGTGAGTACGACTCCATCATCACCGTTCCCTCGAACGCTTCCGTACGCGATCTACAAAGTGGTATGTAGATGCAATCTCTTTCCCATGACTCGTTGCTTAGATGAACTCATAGATGGATCTTGGTGAAACCGTAGGAAAAATTTTAATTTTCTGCAACGTTCCCCAACAAGTCTTGGGTCACCCGCCCTCTGGCAGCCGGCCGCTGAGCCAGCCGGCCTCAGAGGGCGGAGTTTCGACTTGGGGCTCAGCTAGGCGAAGCTGGCCCAAAGTCTTGATAAATCATGGGCCTCAGGTGAGCCTACCCGTGGCCCATTACTCCGACACAACATGCACCAAATTTCATGTAAAAATGTGAAGTTGGAAACAATACATACCTTGCGGGCGTTTTGTCGAACACCTTGCGGGCGCCAAGCGACAGTGGGCGGCCAGTCGCTGTTCGTCGGAGGACTGCCGTGCGTGACGGGCGGCGCTGACTAGAGGGAGACGGAGAAAGCCGCGGCCGTGCGGGGAGAGACCGGGGAAGCGCCGGAACGGTTGCCCGAAGAAATGGGGTGGCGCGGGCAGCCAGCAGCTGGATGGGTAGGTGGAGTTGCGAGCGAGCACTCGAGAGTCCAGCGCGAGGGAGCGGGTGCAGCAAATAAGTGGCGCGATGGCATTTCCGCCCGCGCGTTGAATTAGATATGCCGCGCGCGCGGTTTTTGCGCGTCCGCTGGAGCGCCTGAAGCGGTAGCATGCGCTAAAAGCACTAATTTTTCAGCGGGCGCTTATATAGCGCGGTTGTTGAAGATGCTCTTAATAGCATTGCATATTGTGCTTGGTAGTCGGAAGTCATTGAAGGCACACCACGTCCCACGTCTCCTATTGGTCCTTTTCTTTTTATGTGGCAAGAAACAGGAACCAGGTACGTAATTTATACATCACGTCTAGATGTTTTGTGATTATTTGATTTTCGTAACGTGCCTAATGCACCGGTAGGAGGGAGTAGAAGAATAGAGAGGGAATTGATGAAATTGATATTTATTGCTTGAGCCTTGTGGTGTATATAGAAATACATGATCATTTGATGTACAAGACAAAACTAGAATAAATCCTAGTCTATTGTATTGTATGTTTTCTAAATATAATCAAGATACTCAACAAAATGGATTAGTCGATTTTGGAAGAACACAATAGGCAGCCCGAGGTCATAGACGTCGCCTAAAATGCTACAAGTTCGGATGTTCGTGTACACGCTCAGCTCCACGGCTCGACACATGAACGTCCACGGCTCCAAGCGTCTCACCCGCAACAAGAAAAAACAGTAGACCACAGAGTACTCCCTCCACGCGTCGCGAGCCTGGCCTCGGCACCGCCCAACACCACCAAAGGCAAAGCGGGCACAGGAAAACAGAGCACTCGAGTATGGTGGACTAGCCCCCTCTCCTCCCCCGTCACGGCGGCGGCGCACACTAATCCCCTCCACCTTGCTCACAACCTCCTCCAATGGAAACCCCGAAATCAATCCACCACGAGAGCGGTGAGGAGCGCCTCCGCCGGATCCGCGCCAACCTCGGCCTCCTTGACCCGCCCGTGGCCCCGTCCGCCGCCCACGACAAAGGCCTCCGCGCCCGCGCCCTCGGCCTCCTCGACTTCGTCCGCCTCGACCTGTCCTCCTCCGGCGCCCCGCGCCCGGACCTCGTCGCCGAGCTCATCGCCAACTACAAGCCGTCCCCGAATCCCGGATGGAGCTCCGTCCGTGGCCAAAAAATCGAGGTCTCCATCGATTCATTCGCCCAGGCGCTCCGCCTCCCAGGAAAACCTCTGTTCACTTACCCTTATCCTGCCAGCGCCGTCGTGACCTCCGCCGCCGAAGAGTTCATGAAGGTTTACATCCTGGGGCCAATAGAGTCTTCCACCGACAGGAAGCGCAGGCTGCCGCGGACGGTGGATGATGCATTGAGGAATTTGAAGGATCTTCGGGCGCATTGCATTGACTGGGCAAAACTTATCTGGGAACGAGTGCAGGAGGAGATGCAACAACTGATTGACAATAATAGGACCAGCACGGCATGCTACTACGGTGCGTACCTGCAGAGGCTCATCTGGGTGCAGAGCCAAAACCTCTTCCAGCTGCCACCAGAGCCGCCACTGGTAAATGCACCACCCCAGCCAGCTGCATTGTGCCCCCAGAAAAAAAGGCTAAAAATCCGACTTCCGGTCAATGAGAGCCAAAAGGTTGGCTCCCAAGCGAGTTCCGAGAAGATTGATGTGGGGCTAGAGAAGATGAATGCAACATCCAAGGTGATGATAGATGGGGCGTTAGAGAAGATCGATGCGGCGCTAGAGAAGATGAATGCAGCATCCAAGGTGATGATAGATGGGGCGTTAGAGAAGATCGATGCGGCATCCAAGGTGATGATAGATGCGGCATCCAAGATGATTGAAGCCACATCCAAGCAGCATGACACTAGAGCTGGCGAGCAAGATGGTGACATGCAGGAGATGCAGTCACTCGTCCATACGCTGGTTACCAAGGAACGACAAAGCAATGGCGAGTTGCAACGTGCTCGGAAAATTCTGATAGATGTAAGTGAGCAGCTGATACCTTCTTTTTTTGGGCGTGGCTAGGTCTAAGTCGGCTTTGATTCATTTAGCAAGAATGTTCCCTTTTTATAGTTTCGCAGCATATATATCACTAGTTCTCGTTGACATCGATCGGTAATATGTTTTGCAGGAACTGCCGAAGTTTACAAATGTGCAGGAACATATAGGCATCAAATGGATGGGTGAGCTGGATCTGAAAGCATTTGCGAATGCTTCTTGCAGCAAAAATGTGCCACAAGAAGATGCACAAGTGAACTCTGCTATTCTTTGTTCAAAATGGCAAGCTGAAATCGCAAACCCGGGCTGGCATCCTTTTAGGGTAGTCATGGTTGATGGTCAAGAGACGGTATGTGTTCTCGGTCTTCTAGCTACTGTATTAGCTACTTCTTGAGTCATCAATTTCGCAGAGATTACTACAAGTAGCATTCTATAACACAAAACTTAAAAAACATCTGCTTTGACAAACATTTCCTTCTTTGTCAGCAAATTCTCTCAGAGGACGATGACAAGCTACGCAGCTTAAAAGAGGAGCATGGTGAGGAAATCTACAGCTTGGTGACAAAGGGGCTGCTTGAGATGAACGAGTACAACCCCAGCGGACGCTACGCCACACCGGAGCTGTGGAACCGTAAGGATGACCGGAAAGCAACACTGGAGGAAGCCATCCAGGTCCTCCTGAAACAGCTGCAGTCACGCAAGAGGACGCGCCGATGAGCCCCTTGTACGTGCTTGTTGAACTTAACTCTAATGTAGTCGTAGTGCTGGTGGATTAGTTAGAGGTTTGTAGTGGTTCAGTGGTTCTTAATTAATGCCCATGATCGCCTTTCGCTAGCTGTACAATTTAGCTAGGCGATGCTCCTGTTGGATGTGTGTCCTTTGGCATGATGGATGCTAGCACTAATCTCAGAATGTATTTTGTATGTAGCCCTGGCATGGATGCTAGTGCTAATCTCAGAATGTTCAATTAGGTTTCCTCTATCGTCAGAATGTGTATGCCCCCCTTGTCTGAGTGTTGGTGTGTAGCCCTGGCATGGATGCTAGTACTAATCTCTACTGTGTTACTGAGTATTTGGGGGTTATAACTGCATCATGGAATGTCCAATATGTGGGTATTGGAAACTGCACGAGATTGGAGTTAGCAGAGTAGCTCAAACTTGACAATCCGAGTGCCGCTTTGCTCTGTTCTGCTCCTGCTAAATCCTGTTCACCCAGAGCCACGTGGTCCGCCGTCGCGGTCATGTCTGGCATGGCAGCTCTCGCGCCCGAGCTCGCCTATGTCTGGGGTGTCGCAACAGGGGCGCCGCGCACCAAGGCCATATCATTGTATCTTCCAATAAAAAATATACATTAGTAACAGTTGAATTGATAGTAGTTTTCGTTCGAAATAACCGTAAGAACCCATACATTTTCTTGTCATCGAGCTGATCAAACTGAACCCCCTTTGGATATGTATGGAGGTGGGCAAATGATGAAAAGTTCACAATGCGACCCTTGATACCCGTATACTTGGCAGTGGTTTTCATGTTACCAAGGAGAAGGTTGGTCAGTAGGAAGTGACCTGATTGAGCATCACAGTGAAAAAGAGAATTGTTAGTATCAGGATATCCACCATTGATTCCGTCTCTTTCAAGTATTGCTGGCAGTTAGAGACTAACCAAAACGATTTGTGGCAAACTGCATCTAAACCTCATCTAAAGACATTGGAAAGGACAGAACATCACACACGCATTATTTCTGCAGAACATAAAGAATTTGAACGGCTTGATTCAGTGAAGCGTAGACGGTGCTACGACAGACTAGCAGTGATATACAGCTACCCCGAATTGAAATTTAGTTCCAACTGAAGCAATGCATATATCAAACAAAAGCAAATATCGTAAGAAATGAAGGGGTTAAATCAAGATGTTCAAAGGAAGATTCATGGTGTTGAACTGATCACTTATTCCATTTTGTCTTTTAGGTTATTCTAGAGCTGGTTTAGGACACTAATTTTAGTAACAAGCTCTATGCTTTTTAAAGTCTCATTTAAATCTGATGTTAGTTGAGTATATGGGATGGAGGAAGTATTAAGCATCCGTTGACAACTATTTAAATTTGTCCACACTCAAAAATATAGATGAAACACTTTGTAAGCTTAAATAATCCGAGAGATAGTCATCTGTTATTATTATACTTCATATATTCAGCAAGACAATGAGATGCAAGCAATGAGATCGCTCAACAAGACACTGGTTACCAAGGAAATACAAAGCAACGATGAGTTGCAGCATGCCCGGAAGATGCTCATACAGGTAAGTGAGCAAGTAATAATGCCTCCTTTTTGAACGAGGGAAAATCATGTAGATGTAAGCTGATAAATGATTGATAGGACACGTGCACATTCGGTAATTTCACAAATTATCTCAATTGTATTGGTCACTATTAAATTTCCTTGATATTGATATATTGCGTGTTTCGCAGGAATTGCAGAAGTTTACAAATGGCCGGGCACATATAGGCATCAAAAGGATGGGTGAGCTGGATGTGAAAGCATTTGTAAAAATGTAGCACAAGAAGCGGATGCACAAGTTAACCCTGCTATTCTTTCTTCAAAATGGCAAGCTGAAATTGGTAACCCAGTCTGGCATCCTTTTCGGGTAGTCATGGTTGATGGTAAAGCGACGGTATGTGAACTGCTCAACTTCTCTACTATTGTTCCTGGTCGTACAACTCTGTTAGCAGCTTATAACTTGCAACTTTGAGTCATCAATTTCTCATAGGCTAGTAGCATTCTATAATACAAATACCGAGCGGGTTCAGTACATGACATCTGCCTTTGCAAACATTCCCTTCTTTCTAGGAAATCCTCTCGATGACAAGCTTCGCGTCCTAAAAGAGGAGCATGGTGAAGAAATCTACAGCTTGGTGACAAAGGCGCTGCTCGAGATCAACGAGTACAACCCCAGCGGACGCTACGTTGTACCTGAGGTGTGGAACTGCAAGAATGACCGGAAGGCAACGCTGGAGGAAGGCATCAAGTTCATTGTCGAACAGTCCCAGTCACCCAAGAGGAACGTTGAGGCCCCAAATAGTGAGTCTGGGGTGCCCTGCTTTTGCTTTGATGAAACTGATACGTGCCCCTTGAACTTTGACTTATGGTAAATTGTAGTGCTGGTGGATTAGTTGGAGGTGTGAAGTGGTCCACTGGTTCTTAACGCCCTTTTGATTGCTAGCTATGGAGTTTAACTGGATGATGCTCCTGTTGGATGTGTGTAGCCTTGGCATGATGGATGCCAGTATTAATCTCAGAATGTATTTTGTATGTAACCCTACCATGGATGCGAGTAATCTCAGGATGTTTAATTAGGTTTCCTCTATCGTCAGCATGTGCATTGTCTGACTCACTTTGGCAACAAACCTATTGTGTAACTGAGAATTTGGGTAGTGGAAACTGCATGAGGTTGGAGACAGTACTGAGGAGCGCTCCAATGCTGGGGAGCGGAGATGCAGGAGGCACCTGCTCTGCCGCCAAATCGTCTTCACCCTGCTCTGCTCCGCTCCGCTCTGTATCTCTATAGATACATCTCTCTCGCCGACGCTGTCTAAGGACAAACTCTACCAACGATGGCTTCCCACTTCCCCTCGCTTGCCGGCCTTCCCGCCCGCTGCTCCTCTACACGGCCGCGTGAAGCGCTGTCGCCGCCATGTCCGTGGCGGCTCTCGCCTACGTCTCGGGTGTCGCGCCTGGACTGCCGCTCACCAAGGCCTGCCCTCATGCAATTTCTGCCGAGTAAAAGGCAATTTTTGTGTTGAGCGTACCTTGTCTACCGTATGTGTATACGACTTGGGTCTGTATTTATACCATTGTATCTCTCTCCCCCCTCGTATATTTATACATTTGAAAGACAAGTAGAGGCAGGTCCACCCTGTACCTATATATGTGCGTCATGCACACGATCAATGAATTATCGATACATGCAATCTCCTCCTTCCAACTAACATGGTATCAGATCGCACGCCGATCCCTTTCCTCGCTTCCGCCTAAACCCGCCGCCGCCGCGCCCTCTCTCCCACGCAGCCGCCGCCATCCCCTCTGCCGCTGCTGCTTTCCTTCCCCTAGCCGCCGCTGCGCACCTAAACCCTAACCCTACCCCGCGCCGCCGCCGCTAGTCCCAACCCACCCGAGCCGCCAACACCCTCCCTCCGCCGCCGCTTCCCCACGACGTCTCCCCACTCCAGCAACTCGAACCCGTTCGCTGGACCTGAGCCTGACGCCACCGCCGTTCGCGATCTTGACATCCACACCCGCGTCGCCATCAAGCTCGACCAATCCAGTTCCTCGTACTATGCGTGGAAGACCTACTTCAACCCCGTCTTCCGCGAGTACCACCTCCTCGAGCACGTCGACGGGACTGTTGATGGCGACCTCATGGCGGGCGATCCGGACTGGGCGGCCATTGAGGCCTCCCTCATCCGGTGGTTCTACCTCACCGTCTCGCCGGACATCTTCCACACGGTCGTCTCGGAGGATGACGACGCATGTGCCGTGTGGACCAAGATCAAAGCCCTCTTCACTGATAATAAGCTTCAATATCTCGTGTTTTTGCAGCAGGAATTTTTGGGTGCCACCAAGATGACTCCTCCATTGACGACCACCGCATGTGCCTTAAGCGGCTCGCTGATGAGCTCCGCGATATTGGCGCCAAGGTGTCGGACGAAGTCATGCTTAGCACCCTCACCGCCGGCCTCAACGAGGATTTCGGCAATGCGTCCTCCAACCTCACCCTGCTGCCAAACCCGACCTTCCACTCCGTCGTCGCGTATTTACGCTAGGAGGAACACCGGATGAAGAAGGTCAAGGCGCGTGTGCACCACACCGTCCTCGCCGCCGGGACATCTCGCGGGGCGCCTCCATCGGCCCCACCTCATCCACGCCCGCCTGCTCCACCGGGGTTCTTCCCCCTCCCGCCGGCCCCGTCCGCGCCACCCGTCCCGCCGCAGCAGTCGTAGCAGCAGGGCGGTGGCCGCCGCAACCGGTGCCGCGGAGGCGGCCGCTCCGGGCCACCACAGCAGCAGCAGCCGAGGTATGGGGGGGGCTACCGCTCACATGACGTCGCACCCTGGTAACCTTGCTTCCTCCTTTCCGGTCACCACCTTGAACCGCATCACCTCCGATGACGGTTCCTCCGTGCCCATTACTCATGTCGATCATAGTTTCTTTCCTTCTAATTTTATGCCTATTAGCATGACTAATGTTCTTGTCACACCCGACCTAGTTAAAAATCTTGTCTCCATTCGTTGTCTTGCACGTGACAATCCTCTCACCGTTGAATTTGATGATCTTGGTTTCTCTGTGACGGACGCCCGTACACGGATGGTACTCCACCGATGTGACAGCCCCGATGACTTGTACCCGGTGCACTCCGCCTCCACCGCCGCCGCCACCACCGCCTCCCCGGTTGCCCTCTCCACCGGTGTCGACCTTTGACATGCACGCTTGGGTCATCCCAACTCCACCGTCCTTCGTCAGATTCTCAAGAGTTTTTCATTTTCATGTAATAAATTCGACGAGCACACTTGTCATGCTTGCCGTCTCGGTAAACATGTTCGACGACCCTTTAGCGCATCAAACACTATTTCTACTTTTTCGTTTCAGTTACTTCATTGTGATGTATGGACATCTCACGCTGCGAGCAACATGGGCTTCTTATATTATCTTGTTTTACTTGATGAATTTTCTCACTTTGCGTAGCCGTTTCCACTCCGCCGCAAGTCCGATGTACTCGCCACCCTAACAGTCTTCTACTCCTACGTCACCACCCAGTTTGGGCGCCCTATTCTCGCCCTCCAGACTGACAACGGAAAAGAGTTTGACAATGCCGCCACTCGCCAACTTCTCGCATCCTATGGCACCACTTTTCGTCTAACATGCCCCTACACATCCCAGCAGAACGGCCGCGGCGAGCGCATTCTTCGCACTCTTGACGACTGCGTCCGAACATTGTTGTTTCACTCCAATGTTCCCCCTCGGTTTTGGCCCGATGCACTCGCCACCGCCACCCTCCTTCTTAACATTACTCTGTGTCGTCCTCGTTGGAACTACACTCCACACCATCTTGTCTTCGGTTCCCCCCATCCTACGATGGTCTACGCATATTTGGTTGTCATTGCTATCCTAGTACCGCCGCTACCGCACCACACAAACTCGCTCCTCGCTCCGTAGCATGTATTTTCCTAGGATATCCTCCTAACACCAAAGGTTACCGGTGCTACGACCCCGTCTCCCACCGTGTGTACACCTCCCGGCACGTGTACTTTGATGAGAGGGTTTTTCCTTTTCACCGGGTACCACCTCCTACAGCGGAAGCGACGCCCCTCGATGGCGCCCCCACCTTGGGCACCGTGCGCCACCATGCAGCCCCTTCGGGTGTGGCTGCTCTGGACGCGGCCTCCTACGGCCCCGGCGCAGCCCCCTGTGCCCCCACTGGTGCGGCCTTGACGCGGCTCCCCGCGGCCCCATGGACGCCGGTGCGGGCCCTTCCGCGTCGGACTCCACTGGTGCGGCCCCTATGGGTGTGGCTGCCCCTGCCCCGACCCCTCAGGCGGTCTCTCGAGGGACCCGGCTCCTCCTGCGGAGGCCGCTGCCCCGGCTACGACGGATCCTTCACCACCCTCGTCCGTTGCTCCCGCTGCGGACGACCCGCCCCTGCCAACATGATGACTCGGTCTCGCGTCGGTATCCACCGCCTAGCACGCGCTACGCTACCCAACGAGTATGTGTGCGCGGCATCGACCTCGTCCTCTCCATCGTCGCCCATCCCCTCGTCCGCACGCGCAGCCCTTCGTGATCCACATTGGCTTGCCGCGATGCGCGAGGAGTTCGACGCATTGCAGCGCAACCGCACGTGGCATCTTGTTCCGCGGCCCCCTCATGCCAACGTCATCAATGGCAAATGGGTGCTTTGCCACAAGACCCGCCCTGATGGTTCTTTCGAGCGCTACAAGGCTCGCTGGGTGGTGCGCGGCTTCCGCCAGCGCGCCGGCATGGACTTCACCGACACCTTCGCCTCGGTCGTCAAACCGGGCACGATCGGCACGGTGTTGCAGCTGGCGATCTCCCGTGCTTGGCCCGTGCATCAGTTGGACGTTTCCAACGTCTTTCTACACGGCCACCTCACGGAACGGGTCTTCTGTGAGCAGCCGACCGGCTTCGTCGACGCCGAGCATCCCGATCATGTGTGCTTGCTCTCTCGGTCTCTTTATGGACTGAAGCAGGCCCCTCGGGCGTGGTACCAGCGGATGGCTGGGTTGTTGCAGTAGCTTGGGTTCCGCACCACCCGCTCCGATGCTTCTCTCTTTGTCTACCATCAGGGCAGTGCTACTGCGTACCTGCTGCTCTATGTGGATGACATCATCCTGATGGCATCTTCAGCAGCTCACGGCTCGTCTTCGTGATGAGTTTTCCCTCAAGGATCTGGAAGCGCCGCACTACTTCCTTGGCATTGAGGTCGTTCGTCGTGCCGATGGGTTCTTTCTGCATCAGCAGAAGTACGCTTATGAGCTTCTTGAACGCGCGGGTATGCTTAACTGCAAGCCCGCCCCCACGCCTATTGACACTAAGGCGAAGGTCTCTGCTTTGGAGGGTTCCCCTGTGCTAGACGCTGCGTTCTACCGCTCCATTGTTGGTGCCCTGTAGTATCTCACCCTCACTCGGCCTGACTTGTAGTATGCAGTCCAGCAGGTGTGCCTTCACATGCACTCCCCGTGTGACTCCCACTGGACTCTGGTGAAGGGTATTCTTCGGTACATACGCGGCGCTATGACCCTGGGACTCACTCTGATGGCTTCCTCCTCCATCGACATGGTCGCCTACTCCGACACCAACTGGGCTGGCTTCCCGGACACGCGTCGCTCTATGTCAGGCTATTGTGTCTACCTCGGACCCTCGCTGATTTCGTGGTCGTCCAAGTGACAGCCCACAATATCTTGCTCGAGTGCCAAGGCGGAGTATCGAGAAGTGGCTAACGTCGTTGCTGAGTGCTCTTGGCCCGTCAGCTACTTCAGGAGTTGCTTTGTGTGGTCCCTAAGGCCACGATCGTCTACTGCGACAACGTATCCGCCATTTATCTCTCCACCAACCCCGTTCAACATCGCCGGACAAA